CTGCCACACCTTGCTCTACAGCAACTTTACGATGCCCCCAAATTAATTCTCCTCCTGAAAAATAGATTTCTTACGCGAGTGTGGCTGCAGAGGGAAATCCTCCCAGAAAACAGCCCCACCAGCTGCACGCAGGACGCTCTGCTGCTGCTTCACAAGCCTCAGCATCCCTCAGGAAACTCAGCACTTGGGCACTGCTACACTAAGTGCCCAACACCCAACCGAGTAGCTCCGGGTCTGGGAAGAGCACTGCATAAATAAATCCACTGTAAGTGACCGTCCTTACTCTGAAGGCCTGACTGCCTCCTCAGCCAGAGTAATTGGAGAAGTTAACTTAGAACACTACAATGCAACTTTACATTTGAAGCACGACTTCTATTCATCCGTGCACACACAAAGCAAACAATTACAGTTCAAATGGAAAAAGTAACACATCAAAGGCCTTCCTTCTTTTGGAGAGCTTCTGCTCTAAACCAACGCGCCTGCTAGGCTGGAGAAAGCTTTTCTGGCACTAATGCCAAAGCACAGCTTCAAATTATGTCCACATAAAAATGTGTTTTAAGAAGCAGCTTTGAGGATAGGAACCACAAACAGATGATAAATCTGCAACTCGCAGATCTAAATTCATCACAGAACTAAAATGTTTGGCAGTGACTTCCGAGTAAGTCTCAATTCTTTTCAATTAGGAGAGAAATAATTCCTCCACAAGTCTATTAAATAAAAAACTGAAGATACTTTCAGACTGCATTATATCTCTCATTAAGTTTTACCGTGGAAACACAAACAAGTTTAACTAAAACAGAAAGAAAGAATGGAGATTTTTGTCTTCGAAAGCAGCACCAACTGACAGCTCCATACCCTTGAATTGCAGCAGCTGTAACCACTTGTGTGTTTTGGCATTCTGAATTAAAAGTATCCCAAAAATAAACTGAAATCATCACTCACTCCTTCATGAGTGTAATATCCAACAGATCTATAGAAATTTCCACTGCTTTACTGTCTTAACACCTACCATTTCCTTTTTGCACTTAAAGGTGGCACTATGCCATATGTTTATTAGCAGCTGCTAAACATGCCCTGCAGTTGAAAGTTGTCAAGTCAGGAATACATATGCATTGTCTCTAAGACAAAGAGTGAAAGACCTCTCCCAAATTTCATTAAATTTAAAAGGCTTTGCTGCCTCATTATGTACGTTGGAAATACAGTCAGGGTACGAACTACCTACTTTTGTTCCAAGTATCTGGTATCAAGGCGTTAAGATAAAAATAGGGCTATTGTTTCGGCATTAGTTAAACATATGGATCAAGAGAAGGAGGAGTGCTTTACAAACATGAAAGGGGATAATAAGGACACAATAAGAGCAAAGAAAACACCGATTCCTAACCATATTTACAGCAGAGCAAGTGTAACCCACAAGTGCACCACAGAAAAACTACAGTGAGTCTTGAAAAACTGAACTCCTCTCCTTGTAAGAAGTTCTCAACTCAAGTGCAATTGCACAGGGATGCACCCAGCAATGTTTCTACTCAAAATAACCATTCCTACAGCCACCTTACAGAAACTTAAAGGTAAGGCTTGGACCAAGTAATGTAGTGCAAAAGAGGCACTGACACTTACTGTTTCATTCATTATTACAATCATCATTTTTTTCCCCCATAGATTATTAGTGATACAAAGGCAGAGGATCATTTTATAAGGATTCTCACGGAAAGGAAAGGTTAACATTCCAATGCAAGTAATACTCGCACTAACTTTTAAGCTACCCCTTTCTCCTCCACATCAATTAGTCTTATGACAAAGCATGGAGCGGAGGACAGAAGGAAAGAGTATTACTTTTAGTAAGAAAAAACAGCATGGAGTATGTTTTATTTACACATAGCTAAGGGCAGTAAAAGAAACTTTCACATGTGACACGAAGTAACAATATCTGCTGGGAGGGAGGCTGCACAGTGACAGGACATACCTCTGTGGGGTAATCACCCACAGCAGGATGGCCAGGAACACAACACGCAAACACGAAACAAAAACAACATTATCGAAACAGAGAATAAATTGCAAATGAGAGATTCAAAATAGAAACTGAAGGTATTTAAGGCAAGTCAGGCCAAAATACTGCAGAGTAAATAGCAAACCTCAGACTGCAGGAAACTGATAGTGACCTACCGCCATGAAGCGTGCACAACAGCCGCCTCACAAAGCCAGCGAAAGCACTCACCCAATAGGGAGCATTACTCATCTTAAAGGTGATCGTCGCCTTTATAAATCCCAAACAGCGTGTTGGATGACTGCTATTGCTCCACAAATCATAATGTTTGCTTTGCAATCCTGCAGGAGTTTCACACAAAACTTGCGTTCCTTTACAACTAGCTCTAAGAACATCACTCACCTAAGGTATCTGCCCTCCTAATGCCCTACCCACAGATTACAGCAGCAGCTCTTGTCCAAGGTATCCTGAGCTCCTTAAGGTGCTCAAACAACACATTCAATGCAAGCACTAAGCTATGAGCTGGATGCCGGTACGTCTGCACAGCCACGGTAGGGGCTTAAAGGAGAGCTCAGTTCTAAACTGGGAGACCACAATGATTGGGGGTCTGAGTGCAGCCAACAGCTCCAGGATGAACCTAACCCACAGCACAGCACACCGCAGGCCAGTTAGCCCATCTGAGTGGGCTTCAAGCAGCGCAGGCATCCTTTGGAAGGAAGGCTGGCGATTCAACGAGACCATTCCTTAAAACATTTGTGGATGAAGAGCATCGAATTCACCCCGACTCATCCACGAAAGCAGCCAAGAACTCCAGTAATTCTAAGTTCAGCAGGAAACAACAAAGAGCTCGGCCAATCCAAAAACGTTAGAGGAGATGCTGGCGTATTAACGCGGCTTTCAGGAAACCACATGTTTATCTCAAACAAACACCGAGCAATTACACATTTCGGGCTAAGTAACTCGATCTAAAGCAACCCGTTTGGTTAAGATTGAAACGGTGAAGCCCGGCCCGCAGCAAACCGAGCCCGGACCACGGACACCCGTGCGATAGGACGGCGGAACAACGGCGATTTCACGGCGGTGAATGCCGGTTTCACAGGCCGGACACTGCCCTGCCTCCGCCAGTACCGCAGGAGGAAGTTGTAACTCGCATTTGTAAATCAGTGCAAGAACACTGCCGTGCATACGCAACTGCCGCCGCTTTAGATAAAGGCAGCCGGGGATGCGGGTCCGCTGAGCTGCGGACGATGCACGGAGCCGTGTGAGAGAGCTCACGCACGTGGGGAAAGGGAAGGGGGAAGAGCAAAACAACACAAAAGCCACCAGAAAAAAAAAAGAAAGAAAAAAAAAAAAGAAAAAAGAAAAAAAAAAATAAGAAAGAAAGAAAACCTGCTAAAAGGGGAGGGGAAGGCTGGCCGCCGCCTACCTGCTCGGCGCTGCCCGGCTCATTGAGGCGATGCTCGGCGGAGAGGTGGTGCCGCAGCAGCAGGGCCCGCTTGTAGTTGCGGGTGCCCTTGCAGAGTTCGTCGTGGCCGCCGGGCACGGGGCCGCCCGCCAGGATCAGCTCGGGCGGGGCGGCGGCGGCGGCCGCGGCGGTGCACCAGGCGCAGGACATGAGGCCGGTCTCCTGGCAGTAGTAGAGCCATGGGAACTCCTTCAGCCAGGAGCCCTGGAAGGAGACGTGCAGCTTCTGCAGCAGCGACTTGGGCCTGGCCAGCGGGAAGTGCCGGACGCTCTCCCCCTCCCCCGCGCCCACGCTGCTGCCCTCAGCCTCGTCCCCGCCGTCGCCCCCGGACCGCCTGCTGCTGCTGCAGCTGCCGCCCTCCGCGCCGCTGCCGTCGCCGAGGCTGCCCCCTTCGCCGTCCTCCTCGTCGTCGCTGCTGTCGCTGAGCGAGCCGCCGTCCTGCGCCAGCTCCTTGCCCTCCAGCAGGCCCTCCGGCTCCAGGCCCTCCGCGCCCTCCAGCTCCATCTCCTCGTCCGCCCCCCGCCCGTCATAGCGCTTCCGCGGCCAGGCCGCCGCCTCGCAGCCATTGTTGGCGCCCGGCGGCGCTCCGCCGCCGCGGAAGGCCAGCGTCCGCCGGTTCCTCTCGGCGGGGGGCGACGCGGCGTCCGGCGGCGGCGGCAGCAGCAGCAGCTCCTTCTCGTCGCCGGCCGCCTCCAGCTCCTCGGCCTCCAGCCCCTCCAGCTCCGCTTCCTCGTCTGCCCCGCGCCCGTTCAGCGCCTCGGGGTCCCGCCGCTCCCAGGCCTCGGCCCCTCCGCCTCCCGCCGCCGCCGCGGCCGCCGCCGCCGCCGCCAAGCCGCCGCCGCGGAACGCCAGCGTCCGCCGGTTCATCTCCGCGAACATGGCGGGCGCGCGCGCCCCCCGCCGCCTCGCGCCCCTCGCCGCTCCCCGCCCGGCCGAGGGCTGCGCCCGCGGGAAGGAGGCGCCGCGGCCGCCCGAAGAGAAGGGCGGGGGGGCGGCGGCCGAGAAAACGCGCGTCCGGGCCCCCCCCCCCACCCGGCTCCGGCCTAGATCGCCGCCGCGGGCTGCCCACAATGGATCCGGCCGGGCTCGGCGCCGCTTCCGTCCCGACAGGCCCCGGATCGGGTCGAATGGCAAATGAACAACGGGCGGCTCCCACAATGCACCGGGACGGCCGCCGCAGGGGAGGGGGAGCACGAGCGGGGGGCGGGCGGCCGGCCGGGCAGGAGGGAGGGGGGAAGCGGGGGGCGGCGGGGCGGGCGCGACGGCTACGACGCGTCACGAGCCCCGCCCCGCCCCGCCCACCGCGCGGCAACCGGAGGGGCGCGCGCCCCCTCGCCCTTCTGTTCTGCCCTCCTCGCGAGGGGCCGCGCTGTCCCCCTCCTCCCGCGCAGGCGCGGGGGGCCCTGCGGCTCTCGGTGGCGGCCCCGGGGCCGGGGACGGCCGTTGGTGCGGCCGGGCTCGGCGGGAGCCGCGAGGGAGCGGCCGGTGGTGGTGGCGGCGGCGGCGCGTGCGGGACCGTTAGGCGCGGCGCGAGTCCGGCACGTGCGGCGCGTCCCGACCCGACCGGCGGCGCTGGGGCCGCTCTCGGCGGGAAGGGCGAAGTGAGGCAGACCAGGCGGGCGGGGGGCGCGGGGCCGTCATCCGCTGCGCTCCTCGGGAGCCCCTCCTTTAGGGCCGTCGTTTTACGCGGCCGTCGGATGGTCGGTTTGTTCAGAAAACCGTCCGTTCTGGCCGCGAGCACGTGAGGTCGGTTGTGGATGAGATCGGGGAGGTCATCCTTGCGCTTTCTCTCCCGGTGGCACGCCGTGCTCGGGGAGAGCTGGCCAACCAGCTGGCCGCGATCAGGGCAGGGTGAAAGCACGGCGGAAAGCAGAACGCGGTGGCCCCGCGGCTGTCCCGGCACAAATACGGGGCTGCGGGTGTCGTGCACTGCGGGCGCACGCCGTCAGGAATAGCAGCGGCACTCGCTCTGTGTTACAGTTCCCGGGAGTTCGCTTTTTTTGTTTTTTTCTTTTTTTTTGTTTTTTCTCCCGAGTCCTAATAGATACTGGGAGAGAAACCTGTGACGAGAGTTTGCAAGAGTGCTATAAGTGGTGTACGGAACGCTGTACAGGAGAATGCTTTCCTCCTTCCCAAAAACGCCTTGGGAAAAGTAATTTCTCAAGTAATTGGTAATTGCTACCAGGTACTTAGTGAAAATTTATCTTCTCGTGGTTGGGATTAAGAAAATCTTTCTAAAATTCCGGGGGTGGATGGTGAATCTCTGATGGATTAAAAGAGCTGCCTGAGGCAGTGTCACATTTCCAGGAGGAGGGGAGGGGAACAAAAGTGCTGTGGATTTCGGTGAGGATTTGGAGATGGGGAGATGAAGCATCACAAAATTTGCTGTGCCTCAGCGGGGCACGGGGTGGAGATAGCGGTTCAAACCCAGATCCCTCAAAGCAAAGGGTTCCCACGATGCAGCCTCTGTGAAACGCAAAGCGGAGCGGCAGTTCCTACAATACAATTCACTGGTGTGTGAGATCCTCGCCTGTCAGCGTTTGTCAGCTGACTGCTGCCTCGCACTCGTCTGCACTGCAGTTTCTCAACCGTTTGAAAACTGTACTGCTCTTAAATGCTTGGCGGTGTAGATTCTTTCATATTGAATCTTTCTTCTAAACGTTTAAACTAGAACGTGTTGCAGTGAGCTTACATTCCACGTGTAAGGAAGGAGACTTGTTGCAGCCAGGAGCGTAGCATTCATCCGGGAATGTTTTAAAGCATGTCGGGATGCACTGGGGTACTTAGAAAATGTGTGAAGAACTGCATGATAAGGAGCCATAGGTCTCTGCAGTAGAATGCAAAGATAATCTGCGCTTGAGTGCAATGGCTAATCTAGAATTGCTAATAAAATTGATAGAGAATCATAAAATAATTTAGATTGGAAGGAACCGCTGGACTTCAAAGCAGGACTGGTCTCCGTTACATTGGGTTGCTCAGGGACAACGTCTCAGCCTCTCCCGGACTGTTTACTCAGCAAACCTTTAGTGACGTAGCTCTTCCCAAATAACCTCACTAATTCCTTGCTTTGTCAGCCCGATACGAGAGATTCCACCTCTGTTCCATGCACTCAGCAATCAAACTGCTGTGGCTGATTAAGGTGGTCCGTAGTGCCTCTGTGATACCACAATTTAAGTTGCATGGGTGAATTTGGTTCTTTCTACTGAATGTCTTTGTGAACATAGGTTTCACCTGTTAATTTTCTCTTAACATTTAACACAAAAAAATTTAAAACCTCTTACCTTCATTGCAGAAGTTTTTATTTTCAGACTTCTTTGTTGCAAATGAAGTTTTATGTAGATGTTGGGACTAAATATTTGAAAAAAATCATTCTGACATGCTGTGGCAAGAATGTGTTTATAGTAACATTAATTCACTGTTTCTTCATCAGCAGTTTTTTACTTCCCCTGTCAAACCCGCACACCGCTGAGGTTTATAGCTGGAAATAATCACTGATGTGCAGCTGGTGGACATTTTTAACATGCGCTTTCCCCCTACAATCTTGTGAGAGTCAGTAGCTTTTACTGCCAAAGTCCATATATTCAGACATTAACATCAACTGCCCAAGGAGGTTGTGGATGCTCCATCCCTGTTGGCATTCAAGGCCAGGCTGGATGTGGCTCTGGGCAGCCTGGTCTGATGGTTGGTGATCCTGCACATAGTAGGGGGGTTGAAACTACATGATCACTGTGGTCCTTTTCAATCCAGGCCATTCTATGATTCTGTTATTAACGAATATCTATTTCCTTTTCCATGCTTTGACCAGACAGTGCCAGAGAGAACTCTTCACTGCTTAACTGCCCCGGTCCTGTAGATAGCACAGCTGTTTTATTCAGTCTGAAATCCAATTCTCCAGCTCCAGCTTTCAGCTTTCTTGTTTCTCTGATAATCCTTTGGTTCTCTCCGCTTCCTTCTCTTCTATTAGAGAAAGACCTACAAATCTCCCACGGTTCATTGACAAAAAATCATAAAGTGATGTAGCTTCCTGTAAATGAAGAGCTCTCATGCCTCACATGAGGGAGTGGAATAAATACTGGATGCTTCACATTACATGTGCTGCTGCAGTGTGGCGTTTTGCACCACATGTAGAATAACGCACACCTGAGCTGTGCTGTTGCCAGTTGCTGGCCTTGCTTTGTTAAAGGATAATTAATTGAGCAGGTGAAAAGCAGCATGTATTGCATGGACTCCTGTTTATCACTCTGTGTGCTTATTTATATGTACATGAAGAGAATTATTTATAAAACTGCTTAGAGGATGAATATCATTGCTGAAAAATTCCATACATAATACTATTACAATTCCATGCTATTTAATTCAATGCTCTTAAAATTCCATTAAAGCATTTAAATGTGCCTTTGTATGTTCTGCCCAATTAGGGTTTTAGTGAACAATATGCAAGCTCCTATGAAAAGAATAGGATCTTCTGCTTTTAAATGATAACATCCATTGTGTGAGACCCTGAGGACTGAATTCCCAACCTTGTGCGATCCATGATGGAGAGTATCCTATTGATGAGGGACATTATGCAAGCTATGGGGGCAGTGAGCTTTTTGCACATACCCAGAGTTTCCTTTTGTTGGAGCTGAGGAGAGTATTTGAAGTCTGAGGCAACAGAATTCAGTGAGAAACAGATTATGCTATGAGAGATATCTTGCATTTCCAGTGTATTCTGATCATAGCTTTTTCAGCAAGATGCTTCTGATACGAACAGCATGTTATTTCTGGAGACATTTCTGTTTCCAAATTCCTGCTGTGACCTAACAAATACTTTCATGACAAAACTGGCTTTTCCAAGATATCTTCAAAGACTAAGGGGATGTTATCCATTCCAGGAGCATATTTCTGCAATGGATGTTCATAAAATAAAGAAGATTTTCTTTTTAAAAAGGGTTGGAGTTCCACTAACATGTTTTTTGTGTTATTGGAAATATCTATTCCTAGACATGTGAAAGTTTCAGATCAAAAGCTCCTGGATATTAAGGGATTTTTGAAGCTAGAAATTCACTAATAGGAGAGGCTTTTCTGTCTCTCAAGTAAAAGCTTGACTCTGGAGAATAGGATTATTTGCTGTGGGAATCACACAACAAAGTGTGTCTGAATTGGCGCCTTGCTACTGTGGCAGAAGTGAATGCACATATGTCAAAATTGGAAAAACAGATTTTAGCTGAAAACAGTCGATATAAACAGCCTCTTTATGGTGTGGACAGCAGTACTCCACTGAACGAGTACCAAGAAGAGGAAATAATGCAGGAAGCTCACAAGGAAGGAAGGACTTGAAAACCTCAATGCTGTCACTGGCCTGAGGTTACGTCTGTGCTGCACTTCAGGTGCAGCCAAAGTAGAAATACCTGTATAGAGTTTGGCAGCATGAGTTCAGCTGTCTGGGCAGCCCTGGGTGTCCTCAGAAAGAGCGTTTGTGGAATTTCCACTGTGGTACAAGTTGATGTAGGCACACCTGTTATGTCACAGTCCTTGCTTCCAGATCACAATTAAAGAAAGCTTTGGAAAGTGTAATTCCCAATAACAGGAACTCACACACATTGTGTTCCAGATCTAACTGTGCCATTTGAAGATTTTGCCACTTTCCATCTTTGATGCTGTGATTGCTGCTGCCATAGCTGCTGATTAAAGGGTTTGTTTAAGAGCTCTTTAACTTGCTCCAGGCAAAATGAACAGGTTAGTTTAAACCTTTTTCACTGACTAATCCATCTGACTTGTCAGAAGCACATGAAGTAGCGCTCACGTAATTTCTTTTGCCAATAGAGCTGAATGGGTGGAAACAGTGGAAGCTATCAGCAGAGGAGTGGGAAACAACTGGCAGAACAACCATGTCAACCACTGGCACACCTGTCTGCAAACTCAGTGCCAGTGTATGACTGCATGTCCTGTGGGTATTACAACTCTTCTGAACATGTTCCTGCCTTTTCTGTTACACATTCTTGGCTCAGCTCTCGTTTATGCTAAGTACTTTTGTACGGCTCCCGCATTGTAAAACAATTTGAAAGTGCTCAAAGATGTAATTTACGCCCTTTTATTTGAAAGTGTTAAAAAAGGTAATTTATACCCCTTGTAAAGCTTTCTTCAGAACAATGTGAAAACTGTCTAAGGGGCGAATAGCAATGACTGTAATCCTGCAGAATTAAATCCACAATATTTTCCCAGAACTTCAACCCCAAATTCAGTATACCCCTCAGCCAAATGGCAGTCCACGTGAGGGCTTGGTATCACGATGATTTTATGCCACTGGAGAGAAGCTGGCGTGGAGCTGGTTGCAGCATTCTTTCCCTGTTTGCACTTCTCACGCTCACTGTGTATGTATGTGACTCCTCTTAGTCCTCAACTTTGATGGGTCCAGTTGCACAGAAACCTCTGAAGAGAGTTTTGTCTGCCTGGCTGTAAGCAGCTGTCCTCATCACCGTCTTTCTAGGTTGTCCTTGCTGCCATAGAGCCTTCCCCTCCACAGTACCACCACCTGTATTCCTATGGCTATAGCTGTGGCTAGTTTTGCCTTAAAAAATGCATTCAATTCCTTCTTAGTTCCGGCCCTCATTTAAAGTGACCTTTCCCTTTTTTGCCTGCCATCCTTCTCACTGAGATCTTCCTGATCCTTTTTGTCTGCCTTTGGTTAGGCCTCTGCTCTGAGTGTTGATCAGCTCTTAAAGCCATGGGATCTCACCACGTGCCTGACTGAAAAAATAGTGCCTTCTTGGTACTTCACAACTTTTTTTCTTTGATGGCTCTCCTTAGCAGTCCGGTATTTTACAGTCTGTATCTCGGACAGATGTGCTTCATCAGAGAGTGAATGAGCTGTGAAAGATGCGCTCAAGGAGAGCACAAAGCTCCCATTCTGGGTGTTTAAACAACAGCGCTCTCACTGTGGCTTTGATCAGCGCCTGTTCAGTCAGGGTGCAGCCTCCTCCTCCTAACTTTCTGACTGCTGACTTCAGGTAATCCGATTTGGCCATCTCTTTGTTACAATATCTGCTTTCCATCTCTTGTTTATCCAGGCAACCTGATACACTTTAGCTTATTTCTAAATCTACCAGCAGGTCAGTGATACTCTTACTTCATCTTAAATTATCAAAGTTCATAAAACATCATTTAAAAACAAAAACCAAAAAACAAAACAAAACAAAACTTGAGACATGTCTGTCTCAATTAATTTGTCCTCATATTAATTAGTGAGTATTTACTACAGTGATTGTGGACTGCAGAATCTCAACTGAGTGAATTTAGTCTGCGCAGTAATGAACAAGAGTGAGATTTGGAAATTTTGCTTTTATTAAAGAGTCCTTGCAGGACATTTGTGAACTGTTGTGTTAGGAGGAGTTAGGGAAGCACATTTGTAAATACGTTTGTTGTGGCACATTTTGTTAACTGCAGTTCTGCATAACAGCCATTTGCTGAAAGAAATTCAGGTGGTTCTTAGAAATGCTTTTACAGGGTATTTTTTATCAGTCAGAAAATCAAGTTTATTACAAGGTTCCTTAAACAGAGTGAGATCTGCCAGCAAGGATGCTAGTACCAGGTTAGTAAGGAACAGGGTGAACGCTCTCAAACATGATTAATAATGTACTCATTATAGGATGCTGCAGTCCTACCACTGCAAATTCATGGTCACTGCTAATGCCAGACATGGTCTTGGAAACCTTTTCATCTCAGTCTTGCAGGTGATGCAGAGGCATGGCTGCAGCCCAGCCACGGTGTAACATCAGCAAAGAACAAAGGCAAGTGTCTCAACTCAAAGGCTGTCGTGGGAAGGAAGGACAGCCTCTGCTGAGGCCTCTTGGCAAAGATTTGGGAAGAGCTTTCCCCAGGGCCAGCAGCACTGTCACTAGTGCTGGCCCAGAGCCCAGAAAGCCAAATCCCAGGAGGACAGGAGTGGGCCCACGGTCCTGACGCATGGTTCTGTCCTCACTTAAGTGCTCTTCATACTCACCAGTCATTTGCTGACCCAGCGCTTGCTTCTTTCCCAAAGCAGGCTGGTGTGAGAGGGTGGTAGTGCTGTCCCTAGCAAAACGGACCACCTTTGCACTGTCCTACTGCCAGCCTTCTTCCTAAGGTGTGTTTCCCAACCCCATAAAGGCCTTCAATCATACCAGCTGCTCCTCTTCACATAGAGTGCTGCTACACTTCTACAAATCAGTGCTGGTGACCTTTTGCCTACTGCATTTTCCTATTCAAATTATTACTACAGTGAGTAATATTTGTAGCCTTCTTAGAGTACATTGTTCAGTGCCTGGCAAAACGTTGCCCATGTATTTGTGGCTGTTGCTTTTGCTATAGTGTGAACCTGGATCATGTCCCAGAAGCATCAGCAGCTCTGAATGCTGATATCCCTTTCTTTTGCATCCTACTGATAGCAGTTGCTGATGCCTGCCTAAAGTATTCTTGCTTAAAACCTTGTTTCCTCCCTTCTCTGTGATGTGGGCAGGTGGTTGACCCTAAGCAATTAATCCATGCACCTGAGACTGCAACCTTATGTTGCTATGGGGAACAGTTGTTTTCAGGTGGATTTTTGAGAAAGTCATGTCTATTCTTACTAGGAAGAAAATTCATTTTTAAGTCCTGCCAAAAATGTAACATCTAGTGCTGTGAAAAGTCTGTTTTAATTAGGAAAATTCAAGCTTACTTCAGTATAGCTACTCAGACTTTTCTGGAAATTATACACAAATTGGAAAACATTTGGGTTTTGTGTGAGAATGAATGAGATTACAATACTACGTACACTAAATCAAATTGGCTATTTGACTCTCTAGAAGTTTATTTTCTAAGTGTTCTTACAGATCAGGCATATTTTTTAACTGAACTAATTTTGTCAATGTAAACAAAAAAAAACCTTTCAGAGACACACATGGATTTTAAGAGTCATCACTGGTACCTTAGTATTATTGATTTAATTTAGGGACACATCACTTACAAAACTAGGTGATGATACTAAAGCACTTAGCACTGGTTGCCCAACACGTCAACCCTCTCATTTAGATGGTTTTGCTGAGGCTTTGGGGACATAACATGATGGTGTCAGCCCTTGGATCAGAAGTCTCAGCAGGATGGAAATGGTGTTCACAAACATTTTTTTTTTTGAAGAATTTACATGCCCATTCTAATTTACTTTGTGGGAACACACAGTCCTACTGTCAGTTCAGTCCACATTTTGGGAGAAATTCTGTTGTGTTTTGTGCTGATGCCCAAATAGGAGATCATAAAGCAGAGCATGTTTAATCATCTCTATTTGGCTGGGAGACCCCCACGCTGACATATCTGTCTTGCCTTTTCTCATGTTTTCTCAACTCTACCACTCCTAGGTTGGACAACAGTTCACCGATGTACCTACATGAGATTCCTGGCACCAGGGATATCCATGCAGCATGGAAATGTCACAGCAGCTCTGTACAACAATGGAGCTTCTTTGAAGTATGGTTGACAACTATTTTACATATTGCATTGTCTTGAAGAACACTGACAGAAATGTGATGTTAGCATGTGGTATCATCAGGAAACCATGATCTAGGTAGTGGTATCCAAACTGTTTTAGTTGCACCCTCCATCAGTAAAAAATCTTGAGCACGCATCATCCATGATATACATTCAAACATACATACAAATGTGTATATTTATTTATTAGTGGATTATATCACTTATAGAAGATGGGTGTCATGGTTTTATGACACTGCTGCTGGAGAGAAAGGTCCCACTTGGAGTTTGTGGCAAAGAGGCCCACCCCTGGGATTTTGGAGTCAGGCGTATGGAGGGTGGGAAGAGGGCTACACTCCAACTGAGAAGGAGATCTTAGCTGCGTATGAGGGGGTTCAGGCTGCTTCCGAAGTAATCAGTACTGAAACACAGCTCCTTCTGGCACCTCGACTGCCAGTGCTGAACTGGATGTTCAAAGGAAAGGTTCCCTCCACCCATCATGCTACTGATGCCACTTGCAGTAAGTGAACTGCGTTGATTACACAGCGAGCGCGGATGGGGAACCTCAGCCGTCCAGGAATCCTAGAAGTCATCATGGACTGACCTGAAGGCAAAAAGTTTGGAACACCACCAGGAGAAGAAGTATCACGTGCTAAAGAGGCCCCACCATACAATGAACTACCAGAGAATGAAAAGAAATATGCCCTGTTCACGGATGGATCGTGTCGTATTGTGGGAAAGCATCGCAGATGGAAATCTGCTGTGTGGAGCCCCATATGACAAGTTGCAGAGGCCACTGAAGGGAAAGGAGAATCAAGCCAATTTGCAGAGGTAAAGGCTGTCCAACTGGCCTTAGATGTTGCTGAGCGGGAGAGGTGGCCAATGCTCTATCTTTACACTGACTCGTGGATGGTAGCGAATGCCTTATGGGGGTGGTTACAGCAGTGGGAGCAAAATAACTGGCAAAGAAGGGGTAAACCTATTTGGGCTGCTGAACTGTGGAAAGACATTGCTGACATTTTGCGAACAAAAAATATGGTTATAAAGTTGCATCACATAGATGCTCATGTGCCCAAGAGTCGGGCTACTGAAGAACAGCAAAATAAGCATCAGGTAGACTGAGCTGCCAGAATTGAGGTGGCTCAAATCGACCTAGATTGGCAGAACAAGGGTGAATTATTTCTAGCTCGGTGGGCCCATGAGACCTCAGGCCATCAAGGAAGAGAAGCGACATATAAATGAGCTAGAGACCGAGGGGTGGATTTAAGTATGGATGCTATTGCACAAATCATTCATGACTGTGACACATAGAATCATAGAATCATGATGATAAAATCATGTGCCACAATTAAATAAGCCAAGAGGATGAAACCTCTCTGAGAGGAAGGGCGATGGCAAAAGTACAAATATGGGGAGGCATGGCAGGTTGATTATATCACCTTGCCACGATCTCGCAATGGTAAGCATTATGTGCTCACCATGGTGGAGGCAACCACTGGGTGGCTTGGAACATATGCAGTACCCCATGCTATCACCTGAAACACCATACTGGGTCTGGAGAGGCAAATCCTGTGGCGACATGGCACCCCAGAAAGGATTGAGTCAGATATAGGACTCATTTCAAAAATTCACTTGTGGATACTTGGGCCAGAGAACATGGCATCGAGTGGATTTATCATATCCCCTGTCATGCACCAGCTTCTGGTAAGATCGAACGCTACAACAGGTTGTTAAAAACCATGCTGAAAGCAATGGGTGGTGGAACATTTAAACACTGGGAGAAGTATTTGGCAGAAGCCACCTGGCTGGTCAACACAAGGGGGTCGGTCAGTTGTGATGGTCCTACCCAATCCAGCTCCCTACATACTGTAGAGGGAGATAAGGTCCCTGTAGTACATGTGAAGAACATGCTGTGTAAAGCAGTTTGGGTCTTTCCAGCTTCTGGGAAGGGCATACCTTTTCGTGGAACTGTTTTTGCCCACGCACCTGGGTCCACTTGGTGGGTGATGCAGAGAAACAGGGATGTTCAGTGTGTACCACAAGGGAATTTGATGTTGGGGGAGTGCAGTCTGTAATTCCATCTGTCTATACATAAGTTTGTATGTGCGTGCATTTATATTTTGTTTGCATATATTAAGCATGATACATTGATGTAGAATAAGGGGTGGAATGTCATGGTTTTATGATTTTCGGTTATCGGTATTCCACACCATAACATCATGTAATGCACTGGGGGTTTGACTGCTGATGCTCAAGTTCTGGGTACCAGTCCGGAGGAGAAGAAGAATTACATTTCCCCAGGAGGCTTTGCAGTCAGCGAGGAGATGTAACTCCTGGCAAGGTCACCTGATGCTCTCTTCTTCACCTTCTCTTCTTTGCCTGCGCTTCTCCATCTGCTCTTCTCCGTCTGCTTTTCTTCATCGGCTCAACTGGACTGCACTTCTCACCTCAGTGTTGTGGTGAGGCCTATCCACCTTTCAGACATACACTCTCTCATGTTTTGCTGATACGATATTTAGTAAATTATTTTGTTCCACTTCAGATCGTTGCTGCTGTTTTCAATTATTTTGCGGTCCCCTGTATCCCTTTTCTGGAGGCGCGGATCCCTCTTGCCCCTCTGGTCACAGAACCAGGCTGAACCAGCCCGTAAACTGTTGAGAATGGGCTAAAACTCAAGACAGATAAGTAAGACAAAAATTAAGGAAAAAAAAAAAAAAAAG